AAAAACCTGAGGGAAGAGAGACCACTTCATAGGTAGAATCCTGTCCAGCTGAGAGAAGCAACCCGCCACAAAGTTAAGAATCCTTGGCACATGACGAGCCATGAGACAAACCCAATAAGAAAGAGCCCAAAATGCAAGGAACCAAAGAGTCTTGGAACAGGTAACCTCCTGACAGTTAATAAAGAGGAGACTGTGGAATTGTCAGAATGGATTATGATCAACTGATTCTCTATAAGAGGAAAGAAATAGGAATGTGTCCAATGAAAAGTTCGAGTACATTGATGTGGAATGAATACTCACATGCCTGAAGTCATCTCATCATTCAGATATATGCCCAAGCCCAAAAGAGAAGCACCTATGAAGACATGGAAATATGATCAGTGGGGGCAATAAAGGAATGTCTAGATGTACTAAATATTGGGTAGGTGTGAGAAAAGTCTAGGAAGGCTTGACAAGTCAGCCCAGCAAAGCTGCCTCCCACAGAAGAGTGCAAGTGAGAGAGAAGGAGTCCTCCAAGAAAGGGTGAGTAGAGACCAATCATTCATGTAATGATGGAATCTCAACCCCAATCCATGAACATGGTGGTAAATGCTTCCATGACTCAATTGAATACATAAGGAACAGATGTAGTGCCAAAAGAAAGAGCACAGAACAGGGATCGAAATATTCCCACATTCCAGAGGATTTTAATTTGCTTGAGGAATTTCATCTTTTTAGTTGGCTTTCCCAATCAGGAATGCAATGTTCGTCCATGTTCCTTTGGTTATGACTAATGAAAGTGGACATATTGCATGGATTAAATAAAAGAGAACAATTCATGAGAAAATGCAACTTTACATGAGGGAATGTAATCTGCCTGATAGCTTTCTCTCAAGTGAATGTAAATTTATTTCATTATTTCTGTCCCTGCAGAGCTAAAAGAAGTAATCCTGATGGAGAAAATGAAGAAACTGTCAGGAGAACGAGTCAATCAGAATGTGTAAAAAGGCATCCATAACATTAATCCTGATCATCTACAGACCTGGTGGAAATAAATAACTGGAGAGAAAATGAACCCTCCAACTGAGACAGCAGGTCAATAACCAGATGCCAGTCCCTTGTCTTCTTGGAGACAACAAAGAGATGAGAGTAATAACCTTAAGTTTGAAGTATGGTTAAACACTCTCTTGATGCTGTTCTTGGCCAACAAATCAGAGACCATATATTTGAAACACTGAAGATAAATGGGATTGGATGAAGAAAGAAAGAAAGAAAACTGGAAAAAGGAAAGGAGGAAAAGAGAATTGTGTAGGCCATGGGTGAGAACTTGAAGAACTCATTTTGGTCGAAAATGAAGACCAAAGGCTGGTGAAGAGAAACAGCTCCCACGGGACCAGACCATAATAGGACAGTTATCAACAAGACGAGCAACAATACTGATGTGGGGGAAGTAAGAGAATGGGAAGAAAAAGGCCAGGAAGCTGAAATGGGAGGTGTAGATTTAGCAAGCCTAGGAGCAGAAACAGAAGGTGAGGTTAAGAAACCAAAGTAGACAATAAAAATTGATGCAGGGCCACCTTGGAACATTCCCAAAGACCTCCAAGTAAAGCAAAGCATCCCATCTCAACAACCAAGTAAGAAGGAATAGAGCAGAAGAATAATAACAGACCAATGTTGTGAAAAAAAATAGAACGAACCTATCCAGAAGAACATTTGAAGCGTGATGAAGTTGCTTAGAAATAAGGTAAAGTGGTGAGAAATAATGCAGGAGGGTAGTAAAGAAAAGAAACAAAGGGATGAAAGTTGGCACAAGAAAAGGAAATAGAAGTGAAGCCCCCCCCCCAAAAAAAAAGCAGGTAAAAATAGATGAGTTATGGAAATGAAGAATGGCTATAAGTCAGGAGTCAAGTAGATGAAAATAGCAAGAAATATATGGGTGTGAAGTTGTTCAGGAAATGAATCTGCATGGGCCTTAATATCAGGTGAAGGAGGGAATACAAATTAAACTTGAGTCTGGGTTTTATGTAGTAAAGCATGGGAGGAATCAAAAGACACAAGAGAAAGAGAAAGCAAGAACATACCTGTGAAATAATGTTAAGGAAGAGATTAGAATACTGAGGATTTTCCTCCCCAGATAAAGCTGTGAGCTAACCCTGGTGGGTGAAATAGCAGGTCAAAATCATCATCATCCTGGTCATGTTCAAACTGGAAAGAAGGAACATCAGCCAAATGGATGTGAGGAGGATGCCCAGTTTGCATGAAGGAACCCACAACACTTTGAACAATGGCTGTAACATCCCCAATAGAAATGAGCCTTCAGTGGCCGCAGGTCCCATGTAACAAACATCATCACTATCACTTGAGAATTCATAATGACAGGAAGTCACCAAATATTTTTCTTTCCTAAATGAAATTAAAAAAACCACTGGTTATGTGAAACACTAAGTCAAGTAAACTTGAGCAAAAAGTAACACAGTCATAAACTATCACTGATCTCAAGTAATTGACTAACAATTTTGGAACACAACTGTCCTGGACAATGCCTCATCAAAGAATGAAGTTACGTTCAGCACAAGTACTTAGGTGGAGCTACTGTAAAAGAAGGTTATGTTGCCTTCCAATTGGTGGAGGGTGTTATTATTGCATGAAAATGACATCATGCACTAGTACAGTTCATATTAAACATGTTCTTTAGGTAAACAATAGCTAAAGGTTTAAACTGTGAATATAAGTAAGCTGTATCTTCATCGTCAATATTAAAAAGGAAAGAACTATGTTACTTAATTTATGTCATGTTGTTCAACCATTCTTTTCATAATACTAAGATGATGTCTCTAAAGACCCTGGAATCATGTATGCTGTTTGTGAAGAGAAATCTACAGATAAAATATACAATTTTACTAAAAAATACTTCCAAATAAGAATAGTCAACTGTCTGAAGGTGCCCAAGTTTGGGTATTTTTTTAAAATTCATTGCATCTTTTGTGTGTGATCCTGAGTGCTAAATCTTATCAAAAAATAACTTCTGTTATTCATTTAGGAGGTTCTAGAGACTATTCAAATGAAATATGAAAACTTTAAAATGACAGTATTTTTATTCCTATCAAGAAATTCACCTTTCACTCAGAATGACACAGTAAATTCTCAGATGAATCTTTAGTAAAAGTATTTTATCAACATATTTTTCATGCTTACTACAAGACAGCCAAATTTCATTAAGATACACATATAAACTTGGAATTATAGTAATTGTTACTTCTCCATTATGGGCTAGGTTCAATGTATTGATCCCATGTATGTAGAGTTAACTGATTTAATCATAATTTTGATTAATGATCATATCGCATGGCACTAATCAATGCTCATAGTTAATAAGTTCATTGAGTTAATTGCCCAAATGTACTCTTTGTACAATAGTCTCATACTTGAAATCATCCTTGTAAATATTTTCTAAACCCTCTTCAACAACTCAACATCCTTTCTTAAATAATGTGATCAATACAGAATACAACACTCCAATTGAGATATAACAAGTACTTTATATTGTGAACTGAGGACCACATTCAACTTATACTGAACATTTTTATGTATAAAACCTAAAATCCTGTTTGCCTCATTACTTGCTAATGCATGTTGTATGGAAGACTTGAGACTTTGTATTAGCTATGCCCAGATCTGTTTCCTCATCAACTTCACTTAGTTTTCCCTGCATGGCTATATAAGAAGGGCAAGGTTATACATTTGTACCTGAGTAACTCAGTGATTATAATTTGGATAGTAACTACTTGTGTTACTGACAAAGAAAAAGATAAGAGTGTGGATGTTTTAAAGCCTTCTACACAATTTTTGTCTACACTACAGTACAAAAATAACAGGGTACTGAGTTTTATTCACACAAATTTAGATTTCTGAAGTGAACATATTATTATTATTCCTTTGTATAATACCCTTTTAAGTCTCTTTTCCAATAGTGAGGAACATTACATAGATCTTTTTTTTTTATATTGGTGTCTCGTTTTTCCATAGAATCAGCAACAGAACAATGGTACAATTCTCCAACTAGTTGGCTAGTACTTTTCTGTTTATTTTTGTAAATTACATCAGTTTCATTCTTGGATGTGCACAATTCCATATGTGTGAAATGTTTTGTTTACTTATCAGTGCACAGATCTTGGGAGATAATGACAGATACTTTTGTACGTTATGCAAGCATTGATCTAATCCAATTTTCTTTATTGTTTCCTTCATTAATGTTCATGGTTACATTCAAAGTAATTTTGAATATTTATTAATTTTTCATTTATGATTTTAGAGTTAACCTAAATCTACTGCTTGAACCTCAAAAAGACATTTCTATGATTATGGCCAAAAAATATCATCAACAGCAAGGATATACATCAGATGATTCAATGCATTCTAATAACTATAGGTTTTGCTTTTCTTGTGTATTGATTTTTGACATCAAGAACTTCCAGCCAGTTTATTATACATAATTGCCTTCATTAAGTTACAAGGTAGATTTTAGTTTCGATCTCTATATTAGGATATTTTTTATCAGAGGTTCTTAATAATAGAAAATATACTGTACAGAGGAAGCTTATGAATAACCACATTGGGCTTAATGTCATTCAGTTATTTCTTATCTTTTACTGAATTAAATGCACATAACATGATGGTTTAAGAAGCATCCACTAATAAATAAACCAAGATATAATTAGTGAAATTAATTTACTTCAGTGTTCCTACCCTTTCAAATTTTCAATATTATTAAACTCACAATCATCTTTTTTTTGTCTAAACTTATATTCTTTTTTATGTTTATAATAAAACGTGTTAAAAATTAGTTTATAAAATATTTACAGTGATGTATTTTTTAGAAACAATACCAGTTTCCCCATTTATGAAATAAAAAATACCTGTGTGAGTTTTACATCTCAATATATTTTTATTTTAAAAAATAAATTAAAGAATAGACTAACATTTCAAAAATGTGCAAAAATACATTTTTAGTAAGTTCTTACCACCAGATATGGGCATTGTTCCAAATGTTTCTGGACCTACATATGCTTCTAAAGTTGCTAATGTTGAACTCTAGTTCTCACGTGATGAGTGGTATCCATCATTTTAGACTTCTATATTTACAAAAATGTTGTTGGCTTCAAAGAAAAATAAAGAATAAAATTTCTAAATTTTAAAAATACAAGTACTAATGCTAAGATCAAGGGTTTAAAAACTATATGTAATTTACAAAAAATTTCAACTATATAAAAGCAATAGATTTTTCTTGGCTGACAAACCACAAATTTTTCAGAAACAAAATAATTGTATAATTAAAGGATACAAAAACATTAAAAAGACTTGAACTGCTAACAGTTAAGGCTAAGTTTCTTAAAATTGAATAGTCCTATTTCAACATCAACATGTAATCAATAAACCTTAATCTGCAAGATCTGATAAAAACAGATTTAATGTTTTTTAACTCAATAATCATTTCACTTTTAGACTAATGCAACAGAAATTAAGTAATAAGGTAAAAAGTGCAGTTGCACAAATACAGTAGGTTAAAAAAAAGTTTTTACTTTGTTGTAAAATTATGATATTAAACCTAGCCCATGCTTACTTATAAGTACTACTATGGGCTCATTACAAAGTTCAGTACTGACACCTTGTTCCTAATAAATTTTTTTTGATCGTTAACTTATGGGGTTGCTTCCATGTTAGCTCAACATAATCAATAGCCTGAAATTGAAAAATGCATTGTGACAGCTTCCATGAGGGACATGACACTCATGCTGCTCAACTTACAGTTTACTGCAAATGAGGATGCAGCAATTTTTTTCATTCAAAATAAAATCCCTGTGAAAATACAATGTTTAAATAAAATAAAATTAATTTAATTTCCAATGTTTCATTAGGCTTAATTTCATATTAAGCCTGAAGAAAAATAGTTGTTCAAAACATCACTAGATAAAACAAATTGATTTCTATTTTAATATTGTTTTTATAGTGATTTTATTTTACTGTATTTAGCTCCCAATATTCTGGAAATAACAATTATTTTGAAAACTTTTTTTTCTAACATCCATCACAGAAATAACAACAGAATATTCTGGCACATTCCAAAATTCAATGATATAATCAGTGTTGGAACTACCATGACATTATGGTTGGTTCAATACTGACTGTAAATCTGGAACACTGCTGACTTTGTTGGTATTTCTAAGATGAACATCAGGTAAAGGAAATGTATATAGAAAAACTTGAATTAAAATAACATTGAGAGGTAAATGCAAAAAAATAAGATGAAAATTTTGAATCAGAAACATTTATTTTACCTAGCAATGTTTTGAGCAACTACTCTTCATCACGCTTAATTTCATTTTTATATTAACCCTGTGTGCATGAATGACAATCAAAAGACACATGCTGCAACCTATTACAGAATGTCATTCAACATGGTATTGTGTGTTTGATGTAAGAGTTATCAACTACTCATTTTACCTACATTGCTGATTTAGTGACAGTTTATGGCAGAGTAAATACCAGATACAATGTAAATGGCTACTTAAAAACTGTAGATATGCATTTCAAAGGTTCTAGATGTTATGCAAATGTAATATGCAAACTGCATGATGGACAAAAGTATTTTTATTCTTCACATGAACATCACCTTGCACTCTAATTTGTCAGAGCACAAGTCATACTAACATCATCAATTCACAGAAATATCTTTAGTACAGCTCACTTTTATAACCAGGAGGTGAAAAGTTTCAAAAAAGTTAATTTCTCTCTCGGGAAAGTAACTTTTTTGTTCACTTTCCCTCACATTTCAATCATTTCCCTCGAAAAACATGACTGCAAGAGGTCAACTAAGAAAATTGAATTGCCTCGCACTAAATAAATTTTCCTCTATAAAATGGTAGATCTATTTGATATGGAGTTTATGTTTAACATAGGACTGTACATTAAGAATACAAATAGTTATGGAATTGGGTTGATCAATGCAATACTCTATTCAAACAACAAGTTTATTCACATGTACTAAACTTTTAATGAAACAACAGTATATTTTTTATGACTCTGCATGTGTTTAAATGGAAGAACAATGGAAGGTCACTACATCTTCATGTTTACCATTATTTTAGCTAATACAGAAAACTACATAATGAGCATCACTTCGTCAAAAATAAAAGGATATCAAACTATATATTAGTCTACAGGAAATAGATTAAGAACAAATATTCATCACATCACTTCAAGTTAGAGTATTTACTTTTGTAAATGTTGCTGACTAAATCTAGCTATAAACTTCAAGAAAGATTTACTAAATAGTCTAGGTCTAATTCAAACATAAAAAATAAATTGTTCAAGAGTGCAAATGTTGTTGACTAGAGCCAACAAAAACTTGAAAAGAAGACTTCAATAAATAACCTAGGTCTATATTATTCCAACAAAAAACAGTCCAACAGTTCACAACCAAAATTCAAGGTCTCTCATCTGAATCCATTTCATTAGCAGTTATGCCACTAGTGTACAAATCTCAGATGGCCAGTTGCTGTTCTTGGACCCTTCATTTGTGCATATATTTGGTAATCCCCATGTTTCTTTTTCCTAGGCTCTATCTGGCATACACACTTTCAGGATTACATGTGTCAAGTTGATTGTCATTCTTCATTGTCATGAGGTAACTGAGTGAATCTGATCTCAAAGAGGCTCTCCAGCCTGTTTTGATCCATTTCATTACAGAGAAGCCTCTTTCAGCTTCAAAGGTACTGAATGGTAGAACAAATAAGATTTATAATAAAGCACAAACATTAAGTAGATCTCTTTCTTGAGCTAACAATACTCTGCTCAGTAGGATTTGTGAGGTAGCTTTTTCATTCACCAACATGCTTACTGTCTCATTTGATTATACATAAGACAGGATTAAATCCTTTTTGCTCCATGGTTTTGCTAAAATGCTTTGCCAAGGCTTCAAACTTCATCTTTACCAAAGCTATCTAAAGCTTCTTTTTAATCTGTAGGCCAAGATTTCACTTTGACACACACATTTTCTTTTTTTAAGCACATCTTTGAACCTTTCTTGAACAGAATAAATCACTTCTGACAAAAAAAAAAAAGAAAGTTCAGATCTTTATCCAAAATGTCAATTGTGCTTTATTGTTATATGTGACACAATAGAAACACCATATTTTATTCTGTTCAGTTTCAAGCCATGGTCTGCCTATCTTCAAACTGGTCTGAAACTTTTATTCTTGTTTACTGAGCTCATAACCTATTTGAGTAGCTGATGATAATCCTTTGCTTGGCCTCCCACACGTGCCCTTAGAGATTTTCTCAGATGTGGGCATGGGTTTTGCTCCAAGAATAACCTCAGGCTCAGCTAAAATTCATAAATTGTATTGGGTAGATACAGATGAACATGTGATATTGCAGGTAATATTAAATTCAAAATTTAAACAAATTAGCCTACATATTGCACAAAAGAAACATTGGCCTATATTATGATTCTGATAGAAAACTACTATTAGGCATATAAATTAAATTTCTTTTCTTAACAACAGGAGAGGAAGCTTCTTTAATTTCATATTCTACACTGACACTGTCTCTGTCAATAGGCCTATATTCTATTGAATCTTTTCCCAACTTTCACATCTATAATTTTATATGAGTTATGTGATGACTGTCTTAGACATTCATGCAAAAGCTGAAGTTGCTGTGTCTGTGGGATATTGTTACCTTCCTGGCCTTCTTCCCTCCTACTATCGGAATCAGTGTCAGTAGGCATGTCAGTGAATTCTGCCTCAGTCTTAGCAGTTTTTGATAAGGGGGAGGGGGCTAGGACTGTCCTCTGATTTCCTTTTGTAAGTCCAAAATTCAGAAGACTCATGTTGACAATAACAAAATTAAAGTCAGTTCAAATTCACTAGCCTTCATGATTCTGCTTTACTGTCATTTTGTGTGCTACATCATAGTAGTGAACACTAAAATTTGCAATCTGTAGTGGAATTTTTTTTTTTTAATCATACAGTTCCTTAGAGAGATTTGAAGTGACAGTTTATATTATAGACACTTTAAAGGAATTATTTTGTTTATTTTGACCCAAAAATAACATATACACCTGGTAAAATTATTTATTTATATTTGTCTTGAAATGAAAATAAATTAAAAATAATCCCAAGATTAGTGCACATTTTAAATTGCAACTCCAGTAATTAAACGTGACAGCCTACATATTGTATTTTCATCCTCTACCAAACTGCATATATTTATCTCTTTGGACAAAAAAAGAATAAATTTTCAAACACCATGTAAGAGAATCAGAAAACAGGGTCATTATGATTTGGATGATTTCCATATAGGTGAGGGATATATTGACATTTTGGCCCACTTTCCTGCAAATTTACATATAAAGAGCAATAACTCAGTGGTTTTCCATACAGACTATCTAGCCTTTCTGCTAATTTCACCCAATGAAACTTGATTTCCTCGGAAAAGTGTAAATTTTGACCACTGATAACAAATCTGATATTTTGTATAAAATAGACATGTACATTTTAGTAAAAGCTGACCACATTTTGGGTAGATACAAGGCAAGTTCAGAATTATACTTATAGTCAATGGACCAACTCCGTGCACATTTGGTTATGCTTGGTGGAGGAGTATTTGCTCAAAAATTTGCTAAATACATTGAATTTAATTCTATCTGAACATAGTGTTTTTGACAGCAATTTTATCTTAAAAGAAAAAAAAGTTGCTACATCGCCATTTACGATTACAGTAAACTGTAACTGTGAGTCACTAGTGACTAGTGTCATGTCCCTCATACTCACAATAAGCTGCCGTATCGCATTTTACAACTTCAACAATCAATTGTGCTGTTGAGTGTGTTTATCCAACAATGATGCAACACCGAAAGTCACCAATCACAAAAGTTAATATTACGAACAAGTCGTACAATTACAAAGGCTGAATGTCAACGCTGAATTTTAGAATGCGCATTTTTAGTTTTTACAATTACAGTCAGCGCTGATCCAACAGCGACGTCATGTTGATTCCAACGCTTATTACTATCGTTGCATATTGGAACAATTAACAGATAAGCAAAAGTAAACTAGTTTATAACACAAACATTAACTTAAAAAATGCTGTCACCAGTAAGCCTAAATCCTCAAGCTCAAGTAACGTAGGCCTAATATAATTCACTCAGTCAGACACAAAGCAACTTCTTCTCAGTGCAAGATAGCATTTCAGAAATGCAGCTGATGATATAATTGATTCCCAAAAACATTTTATTATCATTAATAAGGTGCATTTTAATACACTGGAAAAGACTCACCCTATTATATTAACAACCGTTGATTGACACAAAAACCTAGGTTACAACCCACCAACATAACTTACAAGGTCACATAACATTGCTATCTTAGTAACGTAAATAGCCACTAGGTTGAAAAAAAAAGTGGAGTGAATTTAGAATTATAATTTGCATATTTCATAAGCTGATTATTAACCTACAAAAGAAAATGTTTGTTGTACTTCAGGTGTTTCTTATAATAGTTATCTATATATAAAAATTGACTCTTTGTAAAATATCATACAAAAGTATTAGAAGATTTTTTGGACCTATTAAAGACATAACAGTGTTAAATGAGCGAAAGCATAGGTAGAGGAATCAAATTTATAATTAAGAAATGGAACAAAAATTAGAATGTCAGAAGGGAGAAGGTTATTCCTAGTGTAGGACCAAATGACCTAGGAAAACTTTTCAAAGTTTCATGAGAGAAAAAAACGTATTCCTTAATATTCGAACTTCTGTTTGTTGAAGTAGCATGCATTTCTATTATGCATTATAAATTATAATGTTGTATAAATTTGTTCTTTCGTTCGGCAGATTATTTTGCACAAGTAATGCGGTACCCAGCCCACTTAACAATAATAAATTTATTTATTTCCACGATTATCTATAAGCTTAGCTTTAAATACATAATTCAACAGAAACTCCGAAACTACTGTGAGCCTAAATCATTAATATTGTTTAATAAAAAAATTCCTTGATTTTAATAAAAGTTGATTAACTTACAGATGAGGTTAAAGAAGCATTAATTCTTTACTCAGTTATCAACTACTCGAACATTCATTAACTGTTTTTATTTTTACAGAACTCTCACTTCTACCAAGTACGTGAAGTTGCCAGAATCTAAGACAACTGTTATGAACTTTCTAGATTTTAACACCATGCGCTCGCTATTAAACGTCTAAATTCAAACATTGAAATGGAGCTTACGACATTGCACACCTTTCCTGGATTAAAGTCTCTTTAAAAATCCTAATGTACAAATTAAACAATACACTAAATTGTCCATTCACAAATCGTTTTGGTGTTTTTTTTTCTTTTTCAAGGCTTATGGTATGCAGATGGGATATCCTCTTGTCCATTATCTTCACTTTCTTTATTGTCACTAGGGGAGTTCTCCCTGGATCGATGGTCAAGTAACTCAAATGGTAGCTCTATCCTTGACTATCTCTAGAAGTGGACACGACATAAACCCGGGGCTCTTTGGCAGGTTGACTTACCTGCAGGCAAATTCTTCTTTGAAAGTATCCAGTTGACCATTTTTTCACTATAACACTTTCAAAAATGATCAAATTTTATGACCTTTGACTTGGACTGCCTATCCTTCAGGATTCTGTAAAGCATATTAGCGATTCTTTTCAGTACAATGTATGATACTCCCAAACACCTACTTAACTTCACAGTTCATCATTTCTTGCAATGAACGTTGTCCAGCCATATCGTGTCACCTTGACCAGATTTAACCTTATTAACATCATAGTGACTTTTTATTTTATCACAAGCTAATTTAAGTCCTTCCCATGTAAAATCATGTATGACCTCTTTATCCTTCAGATTCACAAGAGGTATTGCAACCATAAATCCCAGGACAAACCAGAGAGTTCGATTCCTCTAGATCCCAATCATCAGATGAAGCTTTATCCCTAATTGCTACTGGTACGAGCATTTTATTTTTTGATGGTACAATGACCACCTTCCTTCTTGTAACTGGAAGCTCAAGTTCTGGCATAGCAATTGTTATGTAGTGCATAGATTGTGAAGTTACTTAAAGCTAGCCTAACCTCACATTCATATCTCCAAACTATGTCAGTTCCAAATAGGCACTCTTCATTGATGTCAATTACTCAAAGATCATGAGGTGTAGAACATTTATTTTACCCTTAGGGTAACTTCCAACTTTCACATTAATCCCTCTTCTTTCATCATCTCTGGAGGCAGATTCCCACTTTTCATTACCAAATCAGATCGAGCTTTTGTAGCTGCAGAACCAGTGTCGTTCAATATACTATTATGTTTTCTTTCAATAAACTCGTGGAGATTCGTGGACAATTTTTTTCAAATGATGAATTTTGTCCCATAGATCCAACTAATTCCGGTTTTCTTGATGTCTGGTTAACTATTTGTTGTTTCTTTGATCTGATTGAACATCATCTCTTGGCTGAATAGAAGTTTTCGGCTATAATGGCCATAGTTCTCACAACGATAGCAGTCCCCTCTTTTTTATATCCTTTGGGAGGAGATTTTATTCCACACAGGCTTTTGTCTGCAGTTCCTTGCAACATGTTTTTTCAAATTATACGTGTATAACTTATTGTTTTGTGGTTTATTTTCTCAAGTCAGTGTAATTAGTTGCCTAACTAACTCTTTTAGTTCTTCCAGGCTATTGTTAGGGAGTGTTGATGTTTCAACACTAGTCGATCTGATGGTCCTGTAACTTCTGAATGGTATCTTTAATAGTTTACCTGCAACTTTAATGGATTCAAGTTTGGAGAGCTTTCTTTAAAGATTTATACCTATTTTGCTTCTACCATTATATCATCTATAAATTAGTCACATATCAATATGTCAATAAATCCATCATTTCATGTAAAGCATCAGGGTAAGATAGTTGGAAAAGCTTTCCAAATATTTCAGAAATTCAGCTAAGGTCTCGACTTTCCTCCATACACTGTTTTAGAACATTTGCTATGAGTACGTCCTTCTGGTGTGTCACTCCTAACGTACTGGATAAAATAGTTACCAATGCTTGATAGTTATTGCAACTCTCAGTTGGAAGACTACTTAATCTTGTACAAGTTGGCATTTTCAAATGGGCAAAAAGAGAAATAGCCTTTTGTTCACTATTCTACCTGAAAGGTCTCCCATGGCACTTTTCATCATTTTCTGTTGATTTCTCAATCAGGTAATGTTGTTTAGTGAGCCAGTTAAATTTTGGAACTGGATTCGGCTGGATTAGCTCAGGAAGATCTTGCAGTAATACATGGAACAGCAGTAGTGTTAATTAATAGGTGTAGGCCAAACGGGCTCTCCTATTCCATATTTGTAGTAAATGATGTTTTAGGTTGGAATTATTGGGCAGATGAAGAAATAGGTGTAGCGGGCTTCGCCTTTGCCTTTATCAAAGCTCCTTCTTTGCACTTACTAATTCTTTTTCCAAATGTTTTATTGTGTCATACTTTTCTTTTGTATTTCTTCAATTTCATAACTACTACATTTCTGTACTTCTTCAACCTTATTGTTGTAATCACTCTGTACATCTCCAATAGCTTCATCAATCTTATATTCTATCAAATTTATTTTTATGCTTAATTCTTCTTTTAATATTATATATCTTTCTCTTAAATTCACATCTCTTATCTCTTGGTAGGGCCTGGCATGGCTTGGTGGTTAGGACACTCAACTCACACTCTGTGGGTCGCGGGTTAGAATCTTGTCGCTGAACATGCTCACTCTGTAAGCCGCCAGGGCGTTATAATGTGATGGTCAATCCAATTTTATGTAGTTAAAGAGTATCCCAAAAGTTGGCAGTGGGTGGTGTTGACTAGCTGCCTTCCCTCTAGTCTATCACTTCAAAATTATGGACACTAGTGCAGATGATCTGAGTAGCTTTGTGTGAAATTCAATAAGTAAACAAACAATACCACTTGGTTTTCTTTTAATTTTCTGCCTCTTTTTTTATTTTCTGTTCCTTTCTTCATGGTCTTCTTTTAATTTTGTGTCTCTTTCTTCTTAATCTACTTTTATTTATTTTTTTATTTTTATCTTATTTTAATGCTCTGTCTTTCTGTGTTGTTTTTCTTTCTATTTTTTACAATACTAGCAAATTTCCTATTTCGTTTTGTGCACGTGTGGTCATCTTGAAAGTTAAAGTTTAGTTAAACTTGTATTAAAAATAGCTTGAAATCGCGAATCATCACATATTTAATTGTACTACATTTAGTCAAGAAAAAAAAAGCCAGTGGTTTTTATGTTTCCTTATAATTTTGGGAAAAGTCAATTATGTCTAGAGTGCTTCTCTTTTACAAAAGGCCCTTGACGCTTTTGATGAGTGGGCCAGAGTGTGGAAGATATATTTCAATATTAGAAATGTAAAATTATTTATTTTAGGTATGTAAATTTAGAAATAACTTGCTTTTGGTATGAAAGGTGAATTGATATGTGGAAAAAAGAGAGACTGATTTAGGTGTTATTGTTGCTCAAATTCAAAAGGCCTCTGCTAAGTGTATAGTTGTGCTGAAACGAACAAATAATGCTAGAAACTTTGAATTTAAGAACAATAATATTATTGTATCCCAATGTAAAGCTCTAGTAAGTCCAGTGTATTTGATACAGTTTTGGTCCCCTTACTTCAGGAAGGATATCAGCAAATTGAAAATAGTACTAGTATTGTACCGATAGGAACCATATTTTCCTTTCTCTCTCTCTTTACAGAGAAAAGTAAACAACATAGATTACCTTTAAACTTTTATTTACACAGTCTTGGCCAAAATGTTTACGTACTGTTCTATATTGATGTTATTGTCTACATGCATGGAGTAGTTATTGAATAAAGGCCCGAGTAGTAACAGAGAAGGTAGCATATGATCGGACAAACATGCACGAGTTGTTATTCTGGTCTGTATAAGGTTTTTATGCATTTGTTCGTCAAAACACAAATACACATCTGTTTTTCGAAACAAATCAATGCTTGGTTCAAACAGTTTTTCTGTACTTGATGTAGAGTTACGTCTTCTCACGTGCCAGAAGTTATAGGGTGCCAAACTGTTCGACTGTCCAGAAATGGTGTGAAACAAATAGACATTGCCAGAACAGTAGGGTAATCCATTGTACTGTATCAAGAATTCTGAAACGTCATTGGACTACAGGAAACGTCGTTCCAGGAAAGTCTACTGGTAGATGCTAAATAACTACTGTCCGAGGTTACCGTGTTTTGAACACATTCATTCCAGGGTATGAGACTGAGTAAATATGAGATTGATCAAACAAGGTTATTTTGCAAGAAGGGCTATTTGCAAACCAATATTAACCAGAATTCAATGTCATCACCGTGTTACTTGGGCAAGAAATCG